TTTTTTTTTTTTGTCAAAGCGTCTGGAAAACTATAAATAACGGAGTCAAATCTGAACAGATTCAAAGTCTAATAATCTGATAAGTAAAAGCATATCTAAAACTATACAGAAAAGAGAAAGGTGAATGGCAAATCTAGAACCCTAATTCTAGATTTTAGTTAATTTTACAAAATCGTTGCAGATTAGTGACGTAAATTGATATTGGAGAAGATTCTTCCTAGTGTGGGACTGACTTAAGACTAGGCTAGGCTGTGTACAATTCCTGAAAATCTTGTTCGTTATTTTACGAATCATTTGATGTTTCAGTGTTGACAAGTTTTTCGTATTACATTACTAAAAAAATTGACTTAACGCTCCAAGGAGAATCTCTCTCAAACTTTACTTTTTAAGAGATGAAGCTACCGTCTAAAATTCAAACGTTTCTGTTAGGTTTATTAGCGCATTGATAACGCTGTAAATTAGCTCAAACACACTGAAAACATTTGTATTAGTTTTTGTATATCTTTATACTTTGTTCAGTGCGATCTTACACATTTCGAGTTTGAACTTTTCGTTGGGAATAAGTGGTACAGCTTACATGACATATTTTAGATTTAACCGCTGTACTATAAATTTGTATGTTCGACCCTCGACGAGCGCCTTCTCGGCAAGTAATTCATGGCATTCACCCTGTGTACCCTGTGCACCCTGTGTACCCTGTGCACCCTGTGTACCCTGTGTACCCTGTGTACCCTGTGTACCCGTGTGTACCCTGTGTACCCGTGTGTAACCGTGTGTACCCGGTGTACCCTGTCTACCCTGTGTACCCATCTGTACCCTGTGTACCCTGTGTATCCTGTGCAACCTGTGTACCCGTATGTGCCCGTGTATACCCTGTGTACCCTGTATACACTGTGAACCCTCTGTACCCTGTGTACCCGTGTGTACCCGTGTGTACCCTTTGTACCCTGTGTACCCTGTGTACCCTGTGTACCATGTGTACCCTGTATACCCTGTGTACCCTTGTGTACCCTGTGTACCCATGTGTAACCGTGTGTAACCGTGTGTACCCTATGTACCCTGTCTACCCTGTGTACCCGTGTGTACCCGTGTGTACCCTGTGTACCCTCTGTACCCGTGTGTACCCGTGTGTACCCTGTGTACCCTCTGTACCCTGTGTACCCTGTGTACCCTGTGTATCCTGTGCACCCTGTGTACCCGTATGTACCCGTGTATACCCTGTGTACCCTGTGTACACTGTGTACCCTCTGTACCCTCTGTACCCGTGTGTACCCGTGTGTACCCTTTGCACCCTGTGTACCATGTGTACCATGTGTACCCTGTGTACCCTGTGTACCCTGTATACCCTGTGTACCCTGTGTACCCTGTGTACCCTGTGTACCGTGTGTACCCTGTGTACCCGTGTGTACCCGTGTGTACCCTGTATACCCTGTGTACCCTGTGTACCCTGTGTACCCTGTGTACCGTGTGTACCCTGTGTACCCGTGTGTACCCGTGTGTACCCATGTGCACCCTGTCTACCCTGTCTACCCTGTGCAGCCTGTGTACCCTGTGCAAAAGAATGGGTAACAGGGAGTCTATATGGAGACTGCCATGAATTACTTGCCGCCTTCGATATGGCGTCATCCCCATGAATCGAAGCAAATCACATGAAGATCTAGCTAAGGTAAGAGAACAAATTTTAAATTAAGCATAATACTTCAAGATGGCAGTAATGGTTCAGGAGATTGTTTGTTTTTTCAACTGTGGTTATTGCTTCAGGACTCGGGCTATTTTGCGCGATTGCAGCGCAAATCGAGGTGACTCAGCTAGTATGAGTGTCATTTCAGGTACAATTTAAACAGAAAAACTTGTTATCCTGTGACGTTTGATCGTTGATCATGAGGTAAACAGGACTCAAGGCCTATTCCACGTCTGAAGTTTGAGTCTTCGTGGAGGGAGAGTCGAAGTTTTAGGTGTTCATAAACAATAGCCCCATTTTGGCGCTAAAAATTAAAAGTCCAACCATTAACTCGAGCCTTTGTGGGAAATCGAGAAAGGCTCGAGGTATTAGGAGTTGTAGTTAATTATATAGAAGTCGAGTGAAAACAGAAGCCTAAATTACCGCAGAAACCAGAACGTAACGTAAATATTTTGAGATGCAGTACACTGCTTGGTTTGATTTGTCACGTATTTGGTTCAATTTATCAAGGGTAAAAATACCTCAATACAGGAAATTAATGATGCACCTTATTGGCGCGATTTAATGCATCTTAATTATTCTTTTGTCAATTAAAATCACTCTAATTTTTGTATGTAGTTTTACAGCACCTTTATTCCAATATTAAAAACCTCATCTGCTTAGAGCTCCACTATGAATGCCTTGGGGTCACTATCTGCCAATTTTTCTTTAACAACTGAGTTCAAAGTATCTTTTGACTGGACTTCTTATCTAAAGTTTAATGTCTCTTGTTGATTCATATATATACCCAATGCAGAGAATTAATAATTTTCGCTCAGATGAAGGGCTAACGCTTGAAACATCAGCTTTTGTAACCGTTACGGTGGCCAATTTACCATTTCGGCTAAAAAATAGATTGGAGAAGTGGTTTTCCACTTTTTGTTACCAGATGGCTGAATGGTGTTGCTATCTAATATGATTTTATACTAATGCTTGCAGTGCATCCCAGTCGAACCATTGGGTACAGAGGACCTTTGTTATATTCAGGGGCTAAGTTTTGGGAATTTTATCCATCTGGGTTTTCTTTTTTAATTTGATGGAGTTATCACCATCAATTTAAACTACTGTAGAAGTTTGTTTTGATTTTAAATTTACTTTGAAATTCCTCCATTTATAAGGTAGGCATTTCCATTGTCATCAACAACTCTTGAATAAAGAGGACTTTTCAATGAAAGCAGTGTTTCCAAAATCACATGTCATTTTCAATAGTTGTTAAGTAAAGCAATAATGCAGGGATTTCAACCCATGCCTGCCAGATACTACTTGGGCATCGTACCAACTGAACTACAAACTGTAGGCAAACTTTTTGGGTGAAGGGACCTGCTAAGGTTTGGAGTAACCTTAAGGTGGCAAATCTTAGTTCCTTTGAGATGGCTCTCCCTTTTATCATCCAGTGCCGTATTAAATAGTTTCCTTGCAACAGAAATGTAGCTAAATATAAGTTATTTGACCTATGTTATCAGTTTTTGTGATTATTATGTTGTGGAAAAAAACATCTAAAGGTGTTTTGAGAAAATTAAGGATTTGTTTTCTTAAATTAAAGACAAAAAACTTGCAGAGAACAAGCTGGAAAAATTATACAATCCATACCCCATTGATGGGATTTGATGTGTGAGTGCAGGCAAACTCTTTAACTCTTGTCAGTGACCAAGACAGACATTGTCCTCGCAATATCAATACATTATCAAGCAGACAAGTGATAAGCATAATTAACAATTATTCGCTGAAGGAAAAGTGAATATTGGTGAATATTCCCCGAGATGAAGTCAAGAGGAATATTCACCAATATTCACAAGCCTGAGGCGAATAATTGTTTTAGTATAATTACTCAGGTGATTATAGAAATGAGCAAAGGAATGTTTAATTTCATTTGTCATTGTCACACATCAGTGAACAACTGAGCGAGAGCTGCTCGCATGGACAACAGACTATTTCTCTCACAAAAAGTCCCATAGTTTTATGAGCAGATCTGGCTGTTGATGGTATTATAACAGACGAGACAAAAACTCCTAATGACAAAATCTATACTTTAATCATGTGGAGACAATTGTAGCTTTGTCTGCTCATAGGGAGAGGCCCTTAGGTTAATACATATATCTTATTAACCAAGTGCAAGGGCCATACTGGGAGAATATCGGCCCGAGGTCTTGACAGTACGGACTCAGCGCAGCGAGATCAGTACAAAAAAGACCGAGGGCTGATATTCTTCCAGTACGGTCCCAAGCAAGCTTGGTTAATAAGAGACTTATTATGACCGGCAATAGAGCATTTTCATTGGTTGATTTTAGTTATTGGCCCTCTGACTGCCCGAGTCGTGTAATAATACGCATTTATGTTTTAGATTTTTATTGAAATTTTCATCATGATTCCTTTTTATCTCATAAGCAGATTCTTTCTAGTATGGTCTATTGGAAATCTCTTTAGTCCATTGTTTATAATTTTTGTTGCTACACTTGGTGGTTAAATTTGGAGTGACTAATCCTTCCCACAGGTCTTTTGACCAAACCTTTTCACAGTCACAACTATAAATAAAAGCTTAAAATAAAAAATCTTAGGAACTAAAACTTTGTCTTTGTTTGTGCTGACTAAATGTAAAGTGTTCCTTTGTAGATGCTGGCTAGTAATTTGCACCTTCTTGTGAATCCCTTTGTAAGTGGCAATTGTTATGATAATACTTCCTTTCTATAAAAGTACTGCAGCTGTTTTAAGTACATTTCAACTCAAAATGCTATCCAATTGATCTGCCCATTCAAGCTTAATCTAAGGCTACCAAAATTGAAAAGTAAATTGCTGTCAAATAATTTTATGCCCCACTGAATGTATTTCTTTTCTTCAGGCATTCTAGATTACTTTGAAGGAGTGTCTCCCATTTGTTGCTTACATGACAAAAACAGAAATATCCAGTGCTAACAAGGTACACAGCAACTGCAAAATCAAATCAAGGGTTAAAGAATCTGATAAACCTGAAGGCAACTGGTGTGTGGAAAAGGTATTTAAATGCAAAACTTGTGACAATTGTTTTACACAAAAAGGACACCTTCAAATACATGAAAGATCCCACACAGGAGAGGGTCATACCAGTGCAAATTTTGTGACAAGTGGTTTGCTTCAACAGGAAATCTAAAATCACATGAACAATCTCACACAGGAGAGAAACCATACCAGAGCAAATCTTGTGAGAAGTGTTTTGAACATAAAAAAGATCTTAAGAGTATATGAAAGATCCCATACTGGAGAGATGCCATATCAGTGCAAAACTTGTGATAAGTGCTTTACTGCAAAGGGAAGTCTTAGAATACATGAAAGATCCCATACTGGAGAGAAGCCATACCAGTGCATATCTTGTGATAAGTGTTTTAAACATAAAAAAAGTCTTAGAGTACATGAAAGATCCCACACTGGAGAGAAGCCATATCAGTGCAAAACTTATGATAAGTGTTTTAAACATAAAAACGATCTTAGAGTACATGAAACATCTCACACTGGAGAGAAACCATACCAGTGCAAATCTTGTGATAAGTGTTTTAAACATAAAAAAGATCTTAAAAGACATGAAAGATCCCACACTGGAGAGAGGCCATATCAGTGCAAAACTTGTGATAAGTGTTTTACTCGAAAGGACTGTCTACAAGTACATGAAAGATCCCACACTGGAGAGAGGCCATATCAGTGCAAAACTTGTAATAAGTGTTTTACTACAAAGGGAATTCTTAGAATACATGAAAGATCCCACACCGGAGAAAAGCCATATCAGTGCAAAACTTGTGAAAAGTGTTTTGCTCGAAAGGGACATCTACAAGTGCATGAAAGATCCCACACCGGAGAGAAGCCATACCAGTGCAAACCTTGTGACAAGTGGTTTACTGAAAAAGGAAGTCTACAAAAACATGAAAGATCGAAGATACATTTTCGAGTGGTTGGAAGATCCCACACTGAAGAGAAGCTGTACCAGTGCAAAACGTGTGAGAAGTGTTTTACTCGAAAGGGAACACTGCGAAAACATGAAAGATTGCACTTTGAACTGCAGCCATATTCTTCAGACCACGATGAAAGATTTACTTGCTGGATTTGCCAGGAGGAACTGAGCAGTGCTTCCCAACTCCTTAGCCACTACGATGAACACATGAAGTTGCCTTCAGTTGATATTCTTGTTGACCAGCCTATCTGATTTGCTTTCGGCTGATTCGCACATATCAATATAGACTGAAACCTAATATTTCGGAAATTAAGAAAAGTTGTTAGTGAACAAAAAATTGATATGCATAGCTGTTACAGTTTTTTGTTGCGTTTTTGCGACATTTAATTAAGAAATTAAAGTTCCATTTGTTCTAATATTATTGTTTTACAATAAAATCTCTTCAGTTCTTTAAACTGTTTGAACGAGACACGTTTTGCAACTACATATAACACAATACCAAAGAAAAGTCAGCGTTTTGGACGTGTTTTGATGGTGTATGACATGTTTGACTGTAGCACTCGTACCTGATGTCTCGGGCCATCTTTTGGAATGTCACTAATTGGTTCCAGCTGGAAAAGCTTCTTGCCGGGAGAAGGTGGGGGGGTTGGGGTGGAGTCACATTGCGTGCCATTGCTAGGAACGATAGGCCACATAATGAAGAATCTTGTATTTTTGCGATAGCGCTATTTCACTCTCGCGTGAAAGTGTTAGGTGTTGTGCAAGTCTGAAAGTTACCACCTTGCACTCTGAGAGCTTACATTCAGACTTTTCTTCTTACTCCCATTTGTATCAGTAATGAGAGCCGGCGAGCAGCCTCGGGTGGACGAGGTAATTTACGATAGTTTCTCTAACACCCATTCTAGCATTTATTGCGGACATCAGAAGAGTTGTTAAGTCTTAACTAATTCCTTCCTTTCTTGTTTCGTTTTGTTTTATAATGTTTCTTTTTTGTGTGGGTTTTTTTGTTTTTGTTTTGTTCTCTTATTTTGTTGTTGTTTTTTTTCTCTCTTGTTTGCATTATATTTGTTTTGTTTTGTTTTTGTTTTGTTTTCTGAGTTGGTTTTTGGATTTGTCTATTTGTCCTAGAGCTATTTCTTCCGTTATCGTGTAGATTGAAGTAATGTGAAACACCGCAAATACTCAATTTGTTGAGTTCACAGGTGGAGATCATGGATCATGCGCTGATCGAGAGTGACTGAGAAACGCTTTTGAAAGGAAATCTCAAATTTTTACACGTACTTCATCTGCGGTGAGTGACAGTTCATATTTCTTTAATCACATCGCTATTGCAGCCCTCTTACGAGCTTCTTTTACAGTATATGGCTAATTTCGCATTTATTCTCATCTCACGACTAAACGAAACTGACTGAAGATCTTGCTGGTCCACCAACAGAGTCAGGAAACTAATTTTAATTACAATTATGTTTCGATTTTTTGTCAGGCGAGTCTTGCAAGTGGAAATATTTCAGTTGTGAACTACAAGAAATCTTAATAGGGTCTTGTTTGACTTCTCTGGTGTAAATAAGCACATCATTTCATCGTTTTTCCCTTTGAAGTCAACAGTTACAAGCAGTGAAGGTCAACCCTCTAGGTGTGTTTCTTCGTGTCTGCTAAATGGATTTGTTCGAATTCGACGTGGAGGAGTGATGGATGTCATTTTGTCACGAATCTTCGTCAAGGTATATAACTCAGGTATTAATAATTTTCGATAGAAATACGGTTTTCATGTTTTTGTCCTTTCCCTTAAATACTGAATGAATGAGAAGAATGTAAAAATGTAAAAAGAAAGCATGACAGTTGTTCGTAAACCGGATGACTTTCATAGCAACAGAGCGAAATGTTGCTTTACTGTTCGCGTATTAATCGCTTATGTTATCAAGATCCTCTTTACTTTTGAACCTACAATCAGCGACAAAATTGTTGACACAGTGACCTTTTCAAATCCTTATTACTTCAATTTCATCTCTTTTGCCCTCGTTAAGTTTGACCCATTCGCCCCCGCTTTAGGGGTTAGGGTTTAACTTCGCCCTAACATGGGCATTTATTATGGAAATATTTATAATATTTCTTCCTCCATTCGACAAAAATTATCGTTATTAGACGCGAGTGCTCCAACTAAGTCTGTTTTTCTTACAGCGTAAAGCCTGGGATGGAATGGTCTGGAAATGAAGAAATACATGGGAGGAAAGCAGAATGGGATAGCATCTTAAAAGGTTTGCTATTTAGTTTTTTCAGAGCCCATTTTAAAGCAATGATTATGTTTTGGTTTTTTCGTAATTTTATGAATGCCTTAGAGCCAAACTGTTAAATATCTAAATAATTTGAATATATCAACAAAGTTGAAATGGTAAATTGGCCACCGTTACGATTATAAAAGCTGACGTTTCGAGCGTTAGCCCTTCGTCGGAGCGAATAGGGGAATTGTGGGTTGTGTGTGCTTTTAAAGGCAGAAAAAGGAGCTACGTGATTGGTGGGAACATGGCAACGAGAAAAACACGAATAAATTAAAAAAGCGTTTGTTGATACCTGTGGGATTTAGACTGCTCGTTTGAAAGATGAGCTTTTGTTCAAGGGTTTTCCGGCTTTCCGTGTTACCTAAGTGTAAGGAAAGACCGCAGATTGCCATGTGTTGCTTAGAATGGTTAGGTAAATTAAAATTTCTAGTGACTGGTTTCGATGTGTCCTTGTCATTCCTCTCCACATCGCGAAGATGTTCTCGGAATCGGTCACCTAGTCTTCTGCCTGTTTCGCCGATGTAAATCTTTTTGCAATAAGTGCAAGTTATGCAATAGATGACATTGGCGGAGGTGCACGTTAAGTGATCGGTGATCTTAATGGATCGTTTGGGTCCCGATATTTTCTCAGTGTTGGAAAGGACACCTTTTGAATCGTGCACGAGCGCATTTAAAAGTGCATGGTTGGTCATTAGTATGAAAAGAACTTCTGACCAAAAAATTGCCTATGTTTTTGTCGCATTTGAATGAAATGATCGGAGGCTGCGAAAAGATAGTGCTTGTCTCTGGATCGTTTTGAAGTAATTTGAAGTTTTTAAGAATGATGGATTTATCTGAGTGGTTGTGAGGGTCAAACGTGAGAGTGAATGGAATGCGGTCGGAATCTTCCTTATGAGACGTTTGTAGTGCTGAATGTCGATCAATAAGTTGTGCGCGGTGGTAACCCGCTTGAACGACAGAATCAGGGTAACCACGTTTATCAAAAAACTGGCACATTGACTCTGATTTGTGGTGGAAATCAGAGTCATCATTATATAAACGACGAAGTCTTAGAAACTGAGAAAAAGGAATGGAATTCTTAACGTGAGATGGACGCGAAGTCGAAAACAGCAAGTAATTATGCGAGTCTGTAGGTTTGTGATACACACAAGTGCATAAACCGATACCTTCAATTGAAACTGACGTGGAAAGGAATGACAAGGACACATCAAAACCAGTCGCTAGGCATTTTAATTTACCTAACCATTCTAAGCAACACATCGCAATCTGCGGTCTTTCCTTACACTTAGGTAGCACGGAAAGCCGGAAAACTCTAGAACAAAAGCTCATCTTTCAAACCGGGAGTCTAAATCCCACAGGTATCAACGAACGCTTTTCATTCCACTAATTTATTCGTGTTTTTGTCGTTGCCATGTTCCCTTCAATCACGTAGCTCCATTTTCTGCCTTTAAGAGCACACACAACCCACAATTCCCCAATTCGCTCCGACGAAGGTCTAACGCNATTAGTATGAAAAGAACTTCTGACCAAAAAATTGCCTATGTTTTTGTCGCATTTGAATGAAATGATCGGAGGCTGCGAAAAGATAGTGCTTGTCTCTGGATCGTTTTGAAGTAATTTGAAGTTTTTAAGAATGATGGATTTATCTGAGTGGTTGTGAGGGTCAAACGTGAGAGTGAATGGAATGCGGTCGGAATCTTCCTTATGAGACGTTTGTAGTGCTGAATGTCGATCAATAAGTTGTGCGCGGTGGTAACCCGCTTGAACGACAGAATCAGGGTAACCACGTTTATCAAAAAACTGGCACATTGACTCTGATTTGTGGTGGAAATCAGAGTCATCATTATATAAACGACGAAGTCTTAGAAACTGAGAAAAAGGAATGGAATTCTTAACGTGAGATGGACGCGAAGTCGAAAACAGCAAGTAATTATGCGAGTCTGTAGGTTTGTGATACACACAAGTGCATAAACCGATACCTTCAATTGAAACTGACGTGGAAAGGAATGACAAGGACACATCAAAACCAGTCGCTAGGCATTTTAATTTACCTAACCATTCTAAGCAACACATCGCAATCTGCGGTCTTTCCTTACACTTAGGTAGCACGGAAAGCCGGAAAACTCTAGAACAAAAGCTCATCTTTCAAACCGGGAGTCTAAATCCCACAGGTATCAACGAACGCTTTTCATTCCACTAATTTATTCGTGTTTTTGTCGTTGCCATGTTCCCTTCAATCACGTAGCTCCATTTTCTGCCTTTAAGAGCACACACAACCCACAATTCCCCAATTCGCTCCGACGAAGGTCTAACGCTCGAAACGTCAGCTTTTATAATCGTAACGGTGTCCAATTTACCATTTCAACTTTGTTGATATTTTCAAATTATTTCGTTACCCTCACCGACGCAGCCCCAAACAGTTTCCTTAGAAACTAACAGCCTTTATTAAATATCTAAGCTCTTGAGCCCAAAACTAGGTCAGTACACTCCAAAAATTAAAGACAATGAATTAAGTTTTTGAATATATTCTTTTTATCCCTGATAGGTGAGATGGGTAAAAACGTTTTTTGGAAATTAGAGCTTTTTACTCGAGCCTTTTTTGCTCGAGCCTATGTATGCCAAGTAGTGTCGCTGAGTAGTTGTGTACGAGTTCTACCTCGCTCGATGAAAACTTTGGAGCCTAACTGTCAAATGGCGTAGCTTTTGAGGCAAAGAACAAGTTCACTGTGCTTTTTTAAAATTGATACCTTTCTTTTTTAAAGCACTAATTATGTTTTGCTGGAGCCAAATAGTCAAATGGCTTTTGAGGCTAGAACAAACTCTGCTCCAGAAATTTATATTTCTAATTTTTTTTTTCAAGAACTCTTGTTTACATCTCTGTAAAGCTTAACTCTCTGAGGATTTTTTTTAACTTAAAATTTATTCATAAAAGATTTGAAAGCTTAATTGAATGCCAAAATTCTCTAAGGCGAAACCATTTTCAAAAAGGAAACTCCGAAAATTTATATTCCTCAAACTGTTTGA